GCTGGATTATACCAGCCTCCGATAAAGGTTCGTAGGGTGCTTTCGTCAGATGTAAAAGTACGATACCAAGGTCACAAGGTGGTGGTTTGAACTTCTGTAATTGGTCATCTTGTCTGAACCCTTTAACCATGACAGAAATAATATTTGACTGCCCCAATTTGGCGGACATAATTTTATCCCTGACAGAAGCGATAGATGTTACGTAAGAAGCTATTGTGCCACCTCGCAACTTCTTAACTTCTCTCAGAAGTGAGCCTTCAAAACAGCCACAGAGGATTATTCTGAAAATCCTTTCTTCATTAGTCCTCCCCGAACAAAGTCCAAGCGTGAAGTTGAAAGAGTTCTGCATTTGGATGAGGTTCCCTTGTGTGTGGACTTATTAGTAAGTTTTCCCACAAGGGAAGCTTTATTGGATCTGGTTCTGCCATCTGCACAAGATCTGGGAACCACTGGCGTGTTGGCCACCAAGGTGCAATCAGGAGAATTTTGCATTTGTACTGTTTCACCCTGTCGATCAGTATTGCCAGAGGGAATGCATATGCGTCCATCAAGTGCCAATTTATTGCAAGGGCGTCGTGATCCAACGCCATTGGATCTGGCACTGTTGAACCATAAATTGTCAACCGATGATTCAGACTTGTTGCAAATAAATCCACTAGTAGGGTCCACATCTGTCTGCATACTAGAAGAAAACAGTCTCGGTGTAACATCCATTCTGTTGCACTTGGTTTGTTTGGTCGCGATAGCGCATCCGATATCACATTCAGTGCTCCGGGAATGTGTCTGGCCTTCGCCACAAAATGGAGACGGTTAGGTGATAAAACCAAAGTGTCAGAGAAACCAGGTCCTTTGACTTCGTTCCACCTTGTTAATATACGAAGCTACTGTTGAGTTGTCGGTCGCGATCATAAACACTGAATTTTCCAATAGGCTGGACCAATTTTGAATCGCCAGAATAACGGCCAAAAACCCCAGGGAGTTGATGTCTCCTGATGATTCCACGTGCCCGAAACGAACGGATTGAGGATCAAGCGGTTGTTTAAAGGATCTGTCAAGTGAGCACCCCATCCTTGGTGACTTGCGTCTGCGGCACTGGGGTTCCTTGTCCAACAGAGGTATTACTGATAGAACGTTCCATCATCGAACAAATTTTCGTAGCTCCGATGGTATTGAAATTGTGCCGTGAAACCCATTCAACACCATTTGAGCTTGAATGAACATCTGCAGCGATCGCAACTGGAGTCTTCCTCGGGCCGTTGCATCTTGGGCTGAAGTTAAAAGTCCCAAAACTTTTGTCCAATTGTGAACAGACTGTGGAACCACCAGCAATGGCTGAATTGCTTCTTGTATCTTTCCCATCTGTCGAGAGGTACCTTCAAAGTACCACCCTGAAGTGTATCGAAGGGTCCCCCCGATGAGCTGCAACTTCTGTGTTGGAATTAAGTCCGATTTCTCTCTGTTCACTAGCCATCCTTATTGGTTATGGGTGTTACAGAAGATAGTCTCCTATAGAAGTACAAATGAAAGACTTCGAGAACGAACTGCACTTACAAACGAAGAGCATCTTCCTTTGAATTGGTCATAATGTAGTCGTCTAGGTACGAGTCGAACTCCTCGTGAATGAAGAAAACTGACTATCGGCTTGGTTATTTGAGTGAAGAGCCATGGATATTCCAAACGGCAGGACTTTCCATTGGTAATTATGTCCGTCGAAGAAAAGCCAGGGGTATTTGTGGCACAATGGATGAATCGGAACATGGAGATAATCATCTTGCTGGTCGATCGAAGCCAAGAAGTCTGTCGGGCGAATGGGCCTGGGTAACTGTGAAATCGATGTCATCTGGAACTTCGGAGGTGGTTGAAGATATAACTTATTGAAAGACTTTAAGTTGTGAATCATCTTTAACTTTTCCGACTTTTTCTTTGGAACAAGAAAAATTCTTGGATAAAAACCCGTGGTTAGATTGTGCAAGAGAACCTCTTCTATGGCTCCTTTTTCTCTGAGTAGTTGTATGTTCTCTCTCAGAACTTCCATGTGCTAATCTGGATACGATCCTACCGCTGGTCGTAAAGTCAAAGTAGGAGCTGACACCATCCTTAGAAGATACTCGTTCTCTTAAACGTTGGACACCCATGGATCGTCTAGAATTGTGCAATTTCGCCAAAACCTTTGTAGCCTTGCTCCAACGGGGGACATTTCTAGCAAAAAACTTCCGGTTTTGGCATGGTAAAATCCCTTATATTTGACCAATTGAAATTGTCTGACAAAAGTCCCGATTCGTGCCCCACCATATAGTCATCGACGTCGTGTTCCATTTCGTGAATTGTAAGCGGGTTTAACATGAGATCCTTCTCTTGCATTTCTTCTATCGTCTTTGCTCCGAAAATTACTGGATGCTCCGGACCTATTATTTGTTGAAGTCGATGCTGCTGAGGTCGTATTTTCTCGACTTTCAAGTTGGACTCAAGACACTTAGATGTAGCCAACCTAGTGTCCTTAATTATATTGCCGACCAGGAACGTATTCATGTTAGCGATAGTGTTCAAAGCCGATGCTGCAGAGGCTATGGCCGATGTAACATGAGTATCAGCTTCATTTTGGGAATGACAAAACTTTTCTAGCAACGCCTACAGATGCGTGCCCAAATGAGAAGAAGCCATCATAGACTGTTTAATACTCACAGCAAGTTAAAGTACCATCCTCTATCTTAGCAGCAGGTATGGATCTCTTAGATGCCAAACACTCCATATTTGAATCAGTTTTCAGAGCATCGATTAAAAAATCCAACTCATGTACAGGATACAAACTATCTTTGATCGTTGGCTTGTTGAACAATCTCCCTTTCCAATTTAATTTCTTGAAGGCAGATTTTAGAAACGAAGAGACCTGCTTAACAGTACCTTCTGGTGGTAAGGAGCGTCCAATAACAACTGTTAGCGTTGACTTCCTTGAAACGTTGGATTCAACTAAACGGTCTAGTCGCATAGACTGTGGCGGCAAATCGGGCAAGATACTATAAATCAAGGCTATATCGTATCTCGTGGTGACAGAATACCAGGTTCAGATTCAGACACGGAGTTACTATCTAATTCGATGTCATCCAGTGCGTCTGTATACGCTGGCGCCTCGATTTCTGAGATGCGCTTGCAGTAGTCGACTTCTATGATGCGCAACTCTTTTTAGATGCGCTCGAAAAACTTGAGTAACGCCAATATTCCACTCTCTTGAGAATTGTTGATCTCTGACTGTGAACCGGCAAATTGAACAACGGCTTCATCGTGTAGGTCTGTGTCATCAATCTCGCCAGGACTTGTGGACAGAAGCCGAGATGAAGACGGGAAAATGCAATAAGTTATGTCAGTATAAGTAGTAAATAAATATACCGCACCTATATTACAGTCTAAAAATAAGTGGGTGACTAAAAAACCTCCAAAAGAATTGCTGCATGGGTGGTGATTCAGGATGGAATTCTTACACCTGATGATACAGGAATTCTGTTGCGCCCGTCCTTTCGCTGAATATGATAGTTTGACAGTGCAAACCTTATGAGCATCTGACGAGGTTGAGATTCAATTGATGCAGAAGCGCCGTGGAACCACTATAGGACGCTACTGTATGTAATCAAGGTGCACATTGTTGAATGCAGAGGTAGTAAGTTTACGTACCTCACTTGTTTTACTGAGTGACACTCTCACCTATTATAAGGTATTTATCTTTACTCTACGCAGTCAGATGGGACAATTAACTGAGGCTTGTACTAGAAACGCTGGCCTTAAACAGGTGATTATCACTGTATCACTATAATATAATCTATTACAGTTATATGGTATAATGTATCATTGTTTGTTTATTTTGGCTATAGACTTAGGATTTTCTTCCCTTATTTCAGATTCTTGGCCAAGTCTAGGTGGGACATGAATGGCTTTGATTGAAAACAAGACTAATTTTGAAAGAATCCCACAAAGAGTTGGGTATTGAGTAGGTTTGATGGGTTCGGTTCGTGTAGATATGTTTTCGGCAGGTATTGGAAAAAAATCCTTAAACCAGTTTACGCTAGTTTTCGACAACAAGGCGTCAGATGTAGTTACTACATAGGCCGAGATGATTCTCTGATTACGAATCCACCCGATCCTGTAAAATTAGCTCTCTCAAAGAGAAAATTATTTGTCTTATTAGCCCCTTTCAAAGACTAACAACAGTTGACTGTTGACTGTTGTCGACAGACAACTATTAGCTTTTAGTAGAGTGTTGAAAAGGCTAACAAAAGATAAGAAAAGGCCTACACTGTGCGCATGTTCAACATGCGCGTTACAGGATCGGGTGACGAATCAAATTAAAGTTAATTGTAAGAAAGAAACTATGTATGTCGCTACTGAATTGTCAAAGCTGGGGTATTCAATTCAATGAGAAAAAGTAGGTTTTTTCACCAAGTCAAAATCTTGAATATTTCGGACTTATCCTGAACATTGTTGACTTTAAAGTCCATTTGACCACAGACAAAAAATGGAAAATTTAATCAAGAACGAAAAGTGACTCAAAAGAAATACAACAATTCCACTGGAAAGACATAATACCAAATTATTTAGCTCCTGCTTTGCTCATAGCCAATGGAAAAACTAAAAGAATGACGACTCAAACACCATCAACACTGACCCAGAAACAAAGGATCATCAGTTGTGGCTGAGCATTTTGCTATGGAAAAGAAAACGGGCCATAAATGCAACTATGAAAACATCAACATACCGACAAACTATCAGTATTTATATTTGGAGTCTACATGAAGCTATCATCCTGAACTGAACAGAAATGAATGACTTATCAACATAATACTCAAACCGGCCATATCCTTAAGAAAATATAAGACCTAGTTCAGAAGCTTATCTTCCAATATCTCAAAGCAAAGTTAACTGAAACACGGAAACTCAATTTAGTTGTGGTCTGATATTGCTTGAAAGTGAGTTACCTCAACACGTGATTTTGTTTTGGAGTTCTTCGATGACGAAGTCGAAATAGGCCATTAAACCAAAACACAACCACTCGCGCGTTTACACAAAATTTAGGATCATAGGCCATTTAAACTCAAAAGAGTCATTTTTCTTGTATTTCAACTGAAAATTGTTTATAGTTTAAATGATCATTATTGAAAGATCATTTTAGAAATGAATTTGGGTGAGTCAATTCTTAAGAGATCTGGTGTGAATGGTCTCGCACACGGTAAGTACTAAGTAGGAGGACACACTGTGATTGTCACTTTCTTATTACAGTACACTATAGCCTAATAAGTTAAAACGGCTTACAGTGGATTCCCCCCTTTACAAGTTCCTCCCATAGTGGTTTCCCACCATGATTAGTCTGGCCATGGATTATGTTTTTTCTGTAATATACAGAGTCCAGCTTACGTCTCGCTCAAAATCTACAGGATATAGTTGTTCGTGGTCGACTTGACCCCACCGATGATGTAGAGTGATCTAACAGAATTAAATAGTCTCATTTTCATTGTCTTTGTACTATATAATTGTCTAAAAGAATTTACTTTCTATACCTGCAGCCATTAATCGCTTTTCTTCATTATTCCAGAAAATTTGAAGCAGTCAATGTAGATTAGAAGTATTATGAATTTCTTTATTAGGTCCAAGAAGATTTATATGATAACCGTTATGATCATCTTTGATTTAGTTCATTGCATATTAGCATCACAATTATTGTAAACATAACTTTAACCCTGTGCCAGTGCCTTATATTGAATAGTAACTGGTTACTCTTCAATCACCCTAATCTCAAAAGTCAATCGATTTGATTGAAACACGTCACAGCCTATAAAATACTCACGAAATTGATGGTTTATTAATAAGCAAAATCACATAAATATCTTAAATTCTGTTTAATGCATTTCCATTATCACGCTATTGTAATTTTTTCAGTTTATAAAAATAAAAGAATTGAATTGACTGCCATATTGGAACATGTGTAATTTAAAATTGCGGATCACAATATAACATCAATGAGATTTATGAACAAAATCATTTTTCATGATTTGTTTGATAGTTTATATAGATTTACTTTTATTGTCCAATCAGATTAATGTATTTTTTATTATACCTGTAGTCAAATACATAGAGGGTGGTAGTAAAATAAACCTACCATTTATTTTTAGGAGTACTCTGTAATAGAGCACTTTTTCTACACCTAGTATATCAATTTATCACAAACTTTTTATATTCAAGCAATTTGCATCAACACCGATCAAAGTGTGCATTTGTTTAAGCAAAGCACCTACAATAACTTGTCTATTTAGAGATTTGCCAAAGAGTGTACCCCTTTTGACCAAATAGTAGCTCACACTCACGACACTTTGATTTATTTGAGATTCAAGATGGCAGGCAACAGTGGTACTGGTAGCAACTAAGTACATTTTGATCTAAACAACTAGTTCTAACAAAGAAAGCCTGGTAGAAAAATACAAGATATCTCGATGCACTTCAATGTTCAATTTGGTACTTGCCGATGATCATTGATTTCAGACAAGTTGATTTGTACCACGTGTCGATGCGATTAGCTTGGATGAAAATTGACACTGTCTCTGTTTGATGAAAGTATTGTAAAATTCATTTGCTTTGTCAAAAATCTTGTGAAGATCAAAATGTATTCATTATCTTTATAATTTTGTCAGTTTTTGATTGACATTGAACTTAAATAGCATGAAGTTAATCTACTTGTCTCAGATATTTCAGATTACTGTCAGATTTATTATTGATTTTTATCTCACTTCTTTGATCTTTCTACATGTATTGTTTATTTATAACCATTTCTAAATTTTCAGTTCAATGTTAGATGAGCTTTAGTCTTGATTACTAAAATTGTTAGTACTGTAAAAAATGACATAACACAAACACAAAACTGTTTATGCCTATTACAATGAAAATAACGACTTATCTTATTCATGGCAATCTGAAATAATTTTGAAATTGTCTTGAATGAGATAGTTATAATTGTTTCTTCGTATAATTGTTTCTTCTTATCATCCAATCTATTTTGTTGTATCTTATTTTCAATCATTTTTATATACTCACATAAAAATTTATATTTTAATAACTAAAGGTTCTGCTGTCATTACTGATAGCTGCCAGTACGCTACCGCTACCTTGCCATCTATTTCCCAAAGATATATAACGATGATTTCTTTTGAAGTATTATAGTAATTATCTTATAATACATTATCTTGAATGAAATATCCCTACTAATAGTATAAATAAAAGATTATATGTCACATGGTATTATGGGCTTGGTATAAATTACCATATTGAGATAGATTAATGAGGACATTATATGCATCAATATTTGATTAATCGAAATATTTTAATTTTGTAAACCTTTTACAAATACGAAATAAATAAACATGTCCAAATTTTTGGGGTTGATTTTTGTGTCTTAAAAATATATTGTGTTGCATGGATCCTTTATTATAGTTTATTGTGGGAAAGTTTTGTGCTGAAGGACATTTATGTGGACTGGTACACCGAAGAAATTATAAATTCTTAGCGACGATAATCGATTATTTTACCCAGCTCTAATGGTATGATATGTTTATCATTTTTATATTATTTCAGCTATTCATCCTCGACATGGATTAGTTTGGTCAGATGGTAAAGCTATTTTTTTATCACCATTAAATATTTTTAACAATCAACTACACAACTCTTCTTCAACCAGATTAGGAGAATTTGAGTAAGTATTTAGTGGGTTGAGTTTTACATTATTCTAAAATCATGAGTTTGTTACGCTATGCTACCAGACAAAACTTTGTTTCCCTTTATTTAGCCTACTGGTATATAGACATTTATCTGATAAAAATCTCAAGATAACTTTCTTACTTGTCAATACAATGGACATTTCTGCATATTGTATTTTAACATTTCTGAAATGGCAAAATGGTTAACAGATGGATTATAGTTAAAATGATGGTAAAGATGTTTTCTAGCCTTTTTAAGTGTATCAGGGACTTCTATTTGGGACATTCCGATTCTTCGTCTGATGCCTGTGGTTCCTGCAATTCCTGAAATGACGCAGCTTCTTCAAGAGAATCATAACAACCTACCACCAGACAACAATAACATAAAAAAAATAAAATACACTTCTAAGTAAAAATTGCTAACTCATTCACATTTTGCTGCACTGTTGCCTTGTGAAACTGTTTACTACATATTTTATTGCTTAGTTTTAACAGAATGGAAAAGGTTGTATGATATTTGTGCAAATCAGAGGGGTAAAAATCCTAAATTATAATAAAATGGTCGGTTTTGAATACAGCGAGGCAAGCATTAATTTGGTAAATCAAGTTAGTCTATTAGTAGTAGTATTACAGGACTACCATGATTTACCAAATGTAAAAAGAAAATTATGTTGTAGAAATTTGAACACCTTAATCCAAGACCCCATCTTAAAACCCTGTCCTAACCAACCTCCATCGATCAGTAATTGTAAAAATTCAAATTAAAAGATTGTATGTTAATGTTTCAATTTGCTACAAGCTCTATGCAATGTTTGAGTTTGAATGTTTGATAACATATCCATGTTTTGTTAAAAAATTTCAGTTACATGACTCATCAATGCATTCAGCTTGAACAAATATTATAAATGTGTATTCACATATTCTACCCATGAATAATCTTCTACAAACTTGTGTATTAAGTGAAATGTCCAGTTTAGTAATAATGTTAAAAGAAGACAATTTAGTAAAATCATGATATGAAATGTAAATGGAATTTTTACATAGCCTAACTGAAATTGTCAATGAATGTGTGTCTAATTTGATTTTCTCGTAATAGATTTGACCTTTCAAAGGAGCAAAACAATTGTACTCAATGATGATTAAAGGCCACAGTATTTAGTTACAAGTTACTAGTCATTGTTGTTCAGAGGTATTATGTATAGTGTAGAGATATTTTCAGTACTTGACATAGAACATCTTGTTGTATTGTTCACTCAACAGATACATTGTACTGGAATGTTGTACAACTACGTCATAGATGTCTCTTTTCGTTCAAACCATGACAATCCAGGAAACATTATGCAAATATAAAACATTATCCTTTTGTTAGTAATTCAAAATGTATGTCAAGCCTAACTATTTGAATATCCTGTTTGAATATTTGATATTTGATAGTTAGTGTAGTGTGAGTAGTTGTTGTCTTCCAAATTTTGTGTCTATTAAACCATTGAATTACACAGAATTCACAAAATTTTATATGCCCTCTCTATACCCTTTTTATACAACATTGAAAACCTCAGATCACATATAACAGCAAGAATGTTGACTTTTTGGATGAAGGCTTAGGATTAAAGACTAAATCATGAGCTGTAACATTGATTTCCCTTTATCTGGAATCATTATAATGTATTTCAGTAATGTAGAGAATGTGTGTTGGAGTAATGATGTTAATGAAACTACATGTTTTATGTGTGTCATACATAATAATTATGTAACAGTTTGGAAAGTTACAGGCCTTTCACCAAAACTCTCTTTTAAACAGGTCAGAAAAATCAACGTTAAACCTATTCCACAAGGTAAAATAGAGCTTTATCAGACAATATTTAGACCAAAATATCCCTATTGATTTAAAACATCTCAGCAAAAGAAGTCGCTAATTTGCTACATACAATAACTATGAATAGTACGGTGATTCCCAACCTTATTAAGCAATTTCTCATTCATTATCATTACAGGTGTTTTATGGAACCCTAAATGTGATGTTTTATGTTTATTTAGTCGTAATCAAGTCAGCTTTTATTTTAATCATTTAAAACAGAAAGGAAGCTATGCTTTCCCACCTTTAGTCAGGTAGGTTTCAATTTCACATCCAGTCCAGGTTTAGTGAAATTTTGTTAGTCGAACATAAGTTACAAATGAATTTGCAGTTGCAACACTTCTTGAATAATTAATGCATCAGTAAAAGCATGAATCAAAGTGCTATACACAAGGAGTTGGTTAGTTAACAATAGAGACTGCAATTTTCAACCGATTTAAATGAAATTTGGTGTGATTCTTTGTGATGATGAGATCTTGGACAAGTTTGAATTTGGCTATCATTTGATGTAGTGTTTTTGAGTTATTGCCCTTGACCTAGAAAAAACGCGTCAAAATTTGTTTGTTAACACAATAGAGACTACAATTTTCATCTGATTTAATTGAAATTTAGTGTGATAATTGAAAATGGACAATTGGACGATCGTTCGATGAATGGTTTTGAAGTTGTTCCCATTGTCTTAGGAAAAACGCGCCAAATTTGTTTGTGAACACGGTAGAGATAACAGTTTTCACCTTCTTTTAAAGAAATTTTGGGTGATCATTTATAATGATGAGATCTTAGTCAACTTTGAATTTGAAAATATTTCGATCAATGGAATTTGAGTTGTTGCCTTTGACTTAGTCAAAATTTGTTGGCTTGTGAACGCGATAGAGGTGACAGTTTATGTCAGAATTTTATTAAATTTTTTGTGTTTGTCACAGATGGGTGACCGCCCTTGATATACTGAAAATGTATCAGAAAAGTGGGCGTATCTGGCTAGGCAACCACTAGTTTTAATTTTCCATCAGTAGTCTGAAAGACAGAGTTATAAATGCTACAGCAATCCCAATTACACTTGTTATAGCTCAATTTGGATCAAATTGAATTGTGTTAGACAACTGTCAACTGGGTATTTATGTAATAATTTTTATAACATAGTGGTAAGATAAACTGTGGTTGTTGGTCTAGAGATGGTAATAAATTATTGGTTTGTGTTGGATCTTCACTGTTGGTAAGTTTTCATGTATAAAGAAATAATTTTCAACCATTTTTTTTAATCTTGCCCAAATATTGTACAAGACCTTTAATTATGCATCTCAGTTTGACATATTTTAGTGATTTTATAAGCTTTTATATTTGTACAATTAAATTTCATCTCCAGAATGTGTTTTATTTTAGATATACACATGGTCAAATATTGAAACTTCTCTTAGTGATTTTATGCCCAGTGCTTGGACATTACCGAAGTAAGTTGAATGTTCAGTTGAATGTGTTATTTGTTTGATCTTCATTACATAAATAGTGAGATGGACATAGCCAGATAGACAAAACATTCTCACTGTTTTTGAGCCATCTGATGCTTTTCACAACTGGGTTAGTGAACTCAGCATCCTTTTAGGGTTTCCATTTGTTTATAATTTTGTTTACTCACAAATAGACCTATTACTTTGCTTGTGGATCATTCTTGGATTAAATTTAAATTCATAAATGGTAGGTGAAACTAGTGAGACTGGTAAATGGTTAAATTTGATGAAGTTTGCTTTGTATTTTGATAGATCTGATGGTAATGTTACAGCTATTGTACCTGTTAATGATAGTAAATATATCTGTTGTGTTGATTTACCATTAGAAAGATTGTGTCATAATCAAGATCTATATTTGATACCAGGTAAGTAACTACTACTATGATCAACCATTAAAATATCTTAGTTTGTTTTCAAATTCATCTCATCCAATGGTTTTACCATCATTAGCCCAATCAAATGCTAAAGAAGACATTTTACCATTTCGATAAATCACAATGTACCATAGATGAATGTACAAATTGCGTGATCTGTGTTTTTAACACTTTTTGAAATGTTGATAATAATCTTACTCTCTGTTTCTTTTCAGAATTACCGGAGAGTGATAATAATAACAAGTATGAAAAAGATGTGTTAAAGAGTGGAAATTCTATTTCTATTAAAGATCAGCTGTTTAATCTACCAAAGAATCCTCAAGTATTGGTTTTTATGTTCATGTTTTGTTTCTAACATAAGATTCTTTTATGACAAAATTGGTCAGTTCTACAAACATCAGTGAGAATATGTTTATGTGAATTGATGTTGTGAATTTAAAAAGCACAAGAAATATGGAGATACTATTTCTGAAATTTAGAGTATGTGAAAGGATGAGTTAGTATTTGTCAGTAAAAGCATATCTATTGATCTTGTGCTTCCTTACCAATGCCTAATAAGATATTTTGTGATGCTGACAGCAGATGTTTTTATTTTAGTGTATAGAAAATGACAGTTCACAGTTAATATATTTTCAAATTAATGATGATGCTAGAAGTTCTGTTAGATTAAATACTGTATCATTACAAGGTTTAGTTTCACCTGATTTATTAGTTTATGAGGCAAGTATATACTGGTATAATATGATATAATAATTATAATATTAAAGTATTTCAACTCAACTCACTGACCAATGTTCATATTAGTTGGATATACTCCACAGCATAAAATGAAATAGAATTGATGGACAAAATTGAAAGTGATTCAGAACAGATATTTATTTACCCCTCAATAATGCAGGCTGTAGGGCTGGGGAAGGCCACACACACATTTGAAAAAAAGATTTTTTATTTTTCAGTCTAGTGGTTGTATAATAGTGGGCTGTAATAATTTACCCCAATTACAAATATACACAGTATCAGAGTCTACCCTTACATTTACCACACAAATAGTAAGTTTTTAATGATACCACACAGTATCAGATTTGACCCTTACATTTACCACACAAATAGTAAGTTTTTAATGATACCACACAGTATCAGATTTGACCCTTACATTTACCACACAAATAGTAAGTTTTTAATGATACCACACAGTGTCAGCTTCTACCCTTACATTTACCACACAGATAGTGAGTTTTTAATGATACCACACAGTGTCAGATTCTACCCTTACTTTTACCACACAAATAGTAAGTTTTATGATACCTACTGTCATTTGTCACATAGTTTGCAACATGATTTTGATATTTGAACAAATGGAATACACATAGAACATATATTTGTGACGATGCATTGGTTTTATGTCACCTAGCACTGCTTTGTTGGCATGTTTGGATTCCATAGTTTAAAAGGACAAAATGAAGGATTTGAATCATTTCTGACAGCTGCCATTGGACACATGATTCCTCAAAATATTTTGAATTCTGATAAGTAATATGTGTTTTCAGCAACTTCAGAAGAATGAGAGACCAAAAGGTATTAGTAGTGTTTCTGGTAATGTTACTAATGTAGTAAATGGTGTACTGATATTAATTGGTGAATTAGAAAAGAAAGAGAATATATTTCCATCCTCTGGTACAGATTGTGACTATAAACTATCAGTTCAGTACTATCCTGTTACTCCTGGTATGTTGCTGCTCTTTTTATTTTAGCGGTTCAAATAGATGTATTTATTGTAACTCTTATAAGTATATAATTTTCATTTTATATAAATCTCTATTATTTACAGATCGAAGTTTACAGCATTGTCATAGTCATTCAGAGATAGATAAAGTAAAAATTTGTCGACCCTCATCAAAAATTAAGTCAGTTAGCGAGTCAGCCTTAAAACAAATACAAGTTAGTGAGAATACAGAACCAGTGTCCTTAGTGATACCTCAACCTGTCACTATTACACCATCTTCTAAATCACTGATATCAAATATAGATGATACCATACCTTCTAACACTCAACTAGAATTAGAAAAAACTGGGTTTAAAGACAGTGTACCTAAATTTCATTCTGAACTGGATAATGTAAGGTCTACTGACTCTCACTTCACAAGAAAAAAATCTCAGATTGTAAAAGGCAACAAATCAAAACTTTTGTATGATGAATCTCAAGTTAGTGCTAGTGGTTTAACTCATAAGAAATTGGACCAATTAGAAGATTCTCTGTCCGATCCAGGATTAAGTATTAGTTCCTGTAATAGTGGTAATTATGAAGTATTAGAAAGTCTTGTAGAAACACAGAAAGATCAGATTGAAGAATTGCAGAAAAAAGTCCAGTCTTTATCAATGTAAGTTAATAATATTAATCTAAAAGTCTATACTCCGACAATTCAGCCAAATTAATGACAGCATTAACCTTTTTGAAAATTGATTTCATTGAAAAAGCAACATTCCATCAATTGAGTACCAAGATTAAGTAAAAATGTAGTTTCTAAAACCTTTTTGACACAAATATTGTCAAAGTCAAGGGCAATTTCTCTAAAACCAGTCATCCAAAAGTTTTGTCAAAAATTGTATTAAAAAAAAATTAGAAACAAATACTTTTAATACTCTCACAATAGCTTACAGAATCCATGTGGTATTTTCGCGCCTATATAATTGAGCGGGAAAAAGTTCTGAACACAGAATTGAGGACAGCAGTAGAGTTTTTGTAAATCTATTATTCACAGTAATCCAAACCTACTTGAATAAACTTATTATAAGATTAGGTGACTAAAAAAATAAGTAACATTACTGATTAATTTTATGAGTACATTCTGAATGGAAACAAGAGGCAGAGATCAAAGAAAGATCAAAGAATACTATGAACACCTGTTGTCCACGTGATCAGTGAATGGTGAATTGGGTGGATCACAGGCACTTGTTTCTATCCATATTAAGTTCTGCTGTAATATGAAGGGATAACAGACATTGCCATTGAGTATCAATGATAGAAACAAGTGCCTGTGTTCTTACTTGATCTGGACCATATTTATTGACATTCCTTTGAGAATTTTAACCCTTCAACACTTCATCATTTGAAGATAGAAATACAACGGAATCGTAATAAAAAGAAGATAGAAAAATAGAAATATTAATTTCTGTAAATACAGTTTTTGATTATTTAACATATAAATATATCTAAACCTCAATCATTTAATGGTTAGTTTTGTCTAATGAATCGAGATTCATACGTGTGTGACCTTGTCAACTCAGACTCATTGTCACGGGAAAAAAATAACAAATGATGGTTAATTTTAAAATGACTTTGGTGATACGTGGAATATGCCTTTAGGAATTTAATATGAGTTAGGACTTAGAAAGCAAATAAGAATGTGAGGACGATCGTATGTATTCTAACCCTTGCAATATATATCATTGAGCCCTGTTAATCTTTGAGTTTGAGTTAACATACCGTAATTGAATAATGCGATTCAATGAAAGTGTGTTTATATTTCGTAAACAAGGGGTGCGCATTATACACGGGTAAATGGATTTTTCCCGATTTTAATGGGAAAAGGAAGAGATGCGCATTATACACGGATGCGCATTATATTCGGAAATATACGGCAACAGGCCAGTTTTGAAGTATTTTGCAACAAGTGCAAGAATTAACAATAAAAATAATATAAATTTTGCAAAACAATCATGAGAAGATGTCTTTCAGATAAGGATTTATTTTGTGATAATTTCAGGTTGGTAGATGAAAGTTCTGTTATCAATATAACCAAATACCAAACACCTGAAGACCCTGGTATGTAACCTGGTGTTTAGTCTAACACTGTTATCATTGTCAAAAAAATGTCCTAAAGTTTGATGTATTGAAGTAAATCTGTGAGAATTTTGAAAGATCAGTTTACTTACAACTGAGATACCACCCTTCGAACTTTGGGATGTATTTTTTTTGGGGACACCCGATATATATATATATACCCTTGACATGATGGTTGTTTATCTTAGATCATGTGAAAGTTGTCTTGTGTTCATTAATTACGTTGTTAAAGGGAAAGTTCACCATCCGCTTGACCAATTGCACATAATCTCAGAAATGGGAATTTTTTGGCTTATCTTACCATGATATTGTATTCACAGCTCACAGTTGAAATTTGAACCTTCAAATCATATGTCAAGAATTATCCATGTTTGAATGTTAAATTGATTGTTCGTCTTTTCTTGAGACTGCCATGTACATGTATAGAAAAGATATACATATATGTATATAGAAACTTCTAGTTTGAGATATATTTGAATGTCCGTGCAGTTCTAGTAGACTTTACATATATTCAAGATCCACATCAGTCATCAATTTCCCAAAATGACTAAGCATGGCCCTTAAAGTTCTGTGTGTATATGATTATATATATATGTATGTATATATGTGTAAAATATATTTATCTGTATAATTATAGATCATGTAAAAGTTGTATGTGTAAAATATATATATCTCTGTATAATTACAGATCATGTAAAAGTTATATGTGTAAAATATATTTATCTGTATAATTATAGATCATGTAAAAGTTATATGTGTAAAATATATTTATCTGTATAATTATAGATCATGTAAAAGTTGTATGTATAAAATATATTTATTTGTATAATTATAGATCATGTAAAAGTTATATGTGTAAAATATATTTATTTGTATAATTATAGGTCATGTAAAAGTTAGATCATGTAAAAGTTATATGTGTAAAATATATATATCTGTATAATTATAGATCATGTAAAAGTTATATGTGTAAAATATATTTATCTGTATAATTATAGATCATGTAAAAGTTATATGTGTAAAATATATTTATCTGTATAATTATAGATCATGTAAAAGTTATAGGTGTAAAATATATTTATCTGTATAATTATAGATCATATAAAAGTTATATGTATAAAATATATTTATCTGTATAATTGTATAATTATAAATCATGTAAAAGTTATATGTATAAAATATATTTATCTGTATAATTATAGATCATGTAAAAGTTGTATGTATAAAATATATTTATTTGTATAATTATAGATCATGTAAAAGTTATAGGTGTAAAATATATTTATCTGTATAATTATAGATCATGTAAAAGTTATATGTGTAAAATATATTTATTTTGTATAATTATAGATCATGTAAAAGTTATATGTATGAAATATATTTATCTGTATAATTATAGATCATGTAAAAGTTGTATGTGTATATGACAATGGTAGTACAAGAAGTAGAAAGTTTTTATTAGATAATGGTAGACTTCAACTTGATACACTTAAAAGGGCTTTTAAATTAGATTATATTGAACTCATAATAGGTAAGACTATCAGCTTAAAAGTCAATATTTCTTATTAGATAAAAATCGTGTATGTTGTGTATCAAAGTCTTGCTAAAACTAAAGGCACAAAATGTTGGATTTATATTTGATGATTTTTACTTATCTTATTTTTTTTCTACAGATGATGATCCTATGGTACTAAGTTCTAATATAGATGGATATATACCTATTAAATTTATACCTGGTTCTACATTGAATATAACTGGTGATGCAACTGCTGATATTATAGCATCTATAAAACATAGTACGATTGCTTCCAGAGCATAAGCTACCATAAGAAGTGCTTAGTTCATTTACTGATACAAAAAAATTTTTCTGCAATTTTACTGATTCAATTTAAAAATGGAATCAGATTTTAAAGCAATTAAATAGAATTAATATTTTTATGTAACGTTACTAAAGTTTTTTTCAGTACAGTCTTTTTAGAGAGCTATAATCAAATATGTAGCAGTTTGAAATATTAATCGAGATTATTTAGTTGTGAATATATTTTTTATATGTAGTAATCATTGTTTATACATTTTTTTTTTTTTAATGTGTTCATTTACAACTGCCATGTTGTCTTTCTGTTATCTTTATATAGTTATATTTTTAATACTAATAAAATCATTTTAATAACATTTAAAAAACTTTTTTGATTAAACAAATTGCATTAATTTTTACAATTACATTTGGTTCTAAACTGAGTTAGTGGAAGAAGAGCAAGGTGTACAATTGCGAATTTATGCAGAGATAAATTTCTGTTGAGGATCTATAATACAGAGCTAGTGGCTTAAGCACTCAACTCATAATCCCAAAACTCCATAATATTAATTACTGTCAGACAGGCAACTCTCTACTACTCCCTATTTGACCAAATTATTTAAGTAAATGTTTCAAAACCATTTAGTCAACATAACAAACTTGTTATTCATGATTTATTTAAATTAAACACCCAATTTTTTGTGACCAGCACCAAATTAAAAAAACACATTTCATTCATACAAAAAACTTCCATTTCAAGAATTCCATTTCACTAATAAAAATTCAAGGCCAAGATATTTTTTTAATTTTCTTTTTAGGCTGTTTTTCTTGTTCTACCTATAATATACAATAATACATAAGACTTTAAATATTATATAATATATTTTAAGACCACATTATTTCCAAGTACTACTATTAAGTAATGATCACATTTTTATACGCCCACATGGAAATGCAGACTTATTTTGCCATCTGTCCACATTTCTTGTGGGCACTATAGAGACTACATTTTTTTATTACGATCTTGATGAAACTTGGTTTGCATGTATATATTGATTAACTATCAGTCAAGTTCGAAATTTACTACACTAAGATGAATGGTTTCAGAGTTATTGGCCATTGACTTAGTAAAAATGCGTCAAATTTGGCTTGTAAGCAGGACAGACCACAGTTTTTACAGGTAATAATCAGATTAACAGTTTCAGAGTTATTGCCCTTGTGTGTCGATAAGACCTTGTTCATGGTTGAATTTGATGATAATTTTATGAAATGTTTTTTAGGTTTTGCCTTGTCTTATAAATATTTTTAAGATAATTGAAAAATTCAAGCCACTACAGACTTTGTTATCATTATCTTTAATACATATTACGCACTACATACCTTGTCTTCTGTATCTATATCCATACACTCTTCACCATTACCTTGTTCTTGAGGAAATTTATTAGAAACGTGTTTGTTGACAATAGTTAAACTATTCACTGCAGGGTCTCTATCAAATTTCATTGGTTTTGTTGACAGTTTTTTCACTTTAGAATTTATTTCAGTCATTTGTTCAGAAACATTAGATGGTGAAGAACTAAGTTTGATGACTTTCTTATTAAAATCAATACAAGTTGGAGGTGGTTTTAATCTGGTTGATGTTGAACTTGATTTATCTAATGGTGTAATTAACTGACTGCCTGTTGAACGTCTTTTCCTGTAAGAAGGTAAGACAAACATTGAATAGCACTTTACATATCAAATGTTATAATCACTAAGCTGCAGAAAATCTTATCAACATTTTTTGATAATCCCCTTAAACCTTTTGTTTATATTGCTTACTTTATGACCTAAGCCAGTGCTTTTGTTGAGAACAATCTAACATCAATATAGTTTTATCAATACCCTGTACTTACTTTATTGGTATTTCCTCTTCTGATCCGTTCAGTTTTCTTTTTTTTGCTAATAATACTTGCTTTTTAGTCATTTCCCTACCATGTCTATTGCTTCTATATTTACGCTGTGGTAGAGGTAAAAAATACTTGTAGTATAACTTTAATAAATCTTCTTTATCATAATTTTCTATTCCTTTTTCTTCAATATATCTCTGAAAATATAGTTTAATTAAAGCAACAATAGACACACCATTTGAATTAAAATAAATCCCGCCTTAATCAGTTGTGTACATAACAAATACAATTCGAAAGGAATATGCTTAAATTTACCCAAAGGAGACAGTTTGCAATGTATGTAAACATGTGACCCAAAAGATTACTTTCAAGTTAGTCGATCAAACCTATGGTACAAATTTGACCACTAAATTATCTCTTTGGCTTTTAAGCGATACGGTAACGTAAAACAATATTTTCTTTGTACAATTGCAAACATGCATCTGTTTTTATATGCCCACATGAAAATGTGGACGTATATTGCCGTCGCCCCCGTCTGTACGTGTAGGCGCGATAGAGACTACAGTTTTTATCTGATCTTGATGAAACTTGGTATGCATGCATATATTTATGGGATCTCAGTCAAGTTCAAATTGGTAATAATCGGATGAACGGTTTCAGAGTTATTGCCCTTGACTTATTAAAAATGATTCAAATTTGCCTTGTAGGCATGATAGAGACTACAGTTTTTATCTGATCTTCATGAAACTTGGTATGCATGTATATATTTATGGGATCTTAGTCAAGTTCGAAATTGGTAATAATCAGATGAACGGTTTCAGAGTTATTGCCCTTGACTTAGTAAAAACACGTCAAATTTGCCTTGTAGGCATGATAGAGACTACAGTTTTTATCTGATCTTCATGAAACTTGGTAAACATGTATGTATTGATGAGATCTGAGTCAAGTTCGAAATTGGTAATAATCGGATGAACTGTTTCAGAGTTATTGCCCTTGACTTATTAAAAATGATTCAAATTTCGATTGTAGTCACGATAGAGACTACAGTTTTTATCCAACCTACATGAAACTAGGTAACTGTAGGCCTATGCATGTTTATATCGATGAGATCTCACTCGAGTTCGTAATTGGTAAAATTTGGATGAAGGGTTTCAGAGTTATTGCCCTTGACTTAGAAAAAACTTGTCAAATTCGGCTTGCAGGCACGATAGAGACTACCGCTACCGGTAAAGTTTTTATCCAATCTTGATGAAACCAAATTTGCATGATGAGATCTCGGTCAAGTTAGAAATTGATAATAATCAAAAATAATTTTTTTCATTAATAACCTATTTAAGGACTTGTTTGCTGAAATTATTATTCAAATTTATTTTTTTGCATTTATTATTTTTCCAATGACATTGCTAGTGTAGAGAGGCAGTGAACCGTGCAAGCTACGGCTACAGCTATAGTGCTATGAATGAGGACATATATATATGCTGGCCATTGGATGTAAGTATCAGTTAAAGACTGTAAATAATAATACCTGTCTAAACAACAGTCGTAAACCATCTTCAGTTAATAACTCGGGATAGAGCAAAAAATCTGCCGTGTTCTCTGTGGGCGCTGCCATCTTGTTTTTGTAGTCTGGATTAATCTGACTTTCGAGGATATAGAAAATGATTAATACTACAATGCTATAAAAATTCAATTTGTAGTTCCGATGATATCGTCCATGATAATTATTATTTCGGTGGTCCAAATAAGTGTTTAAAATCAGTAAATCGAAAATGTACAAAGCCTAAGTTTAGGCCCCGTGTACTAGACTATTTGTTTATAGATGGCACTGTAAGGTTTATCACGTGACTGACTATATTTCTAAAAGTAGAAAATTACCTGTCAAATTTTCCAAGCAAAGGTAAGCCTTTTACACAAGTTATGCTCATTATCAGTAAGTTTCTCTTACCTGACTTTTTGTTTTCACAAGTAGAACTACTATCGGATAGGCCTATTCATTAAAACGTGTATTCTGCTTGTAATAAAAGACGTAAGAGATGAATGCCTGTTCGGAATTGAATATATTTATCTTGACGGATTAAATCTCGATTTAGAATAATCGATCCTAACCTAAATACTATAGGCCCTAATAAGAAACATAAGCTTACATAGTTATAAACAAATCTATTTCCTATACCTAACATTATTTATAAGGGCAAACAGATCATGGCAAGTGAACTCAGACAAAAGAGTATATTGGGCAGATGTCATGTGAAAGTACTAAAGCATTTCGTTTTTCTGCAAATTTTTTCCTGTTTTTATAAGCGAAGAATATGTGTAACTTCATGAAAATTTGTTTTCCTTGACAAGGCCATTAATATTATCAACCTTGGGATATTTTGTCATATATACTAGTAATAATTGTCTTAATCAAAGAAAGATCTCTTCTGATCAAAGATACATATTTTAATATGTGTATCTAAGTCATGTATTGCTTGACGTAACCTTTAGCTTACTCTTTCCTACTCTGGAACTGGTTCCCATATATTTATATTTGCTCTGTTTTGTGATATGGTGCAATAACCACATTACAATAATGTTCAATTGTATATTGTAACCAGCTTGAGAATTGTTGTTCTTTTAATTTCTTTTTTCGTTTATAGAATAAAAATCAAAATGAGTTCTGGTATTTTTAATGGTAAACAAATAGCTTTAGATTTAAGTTTTGATGTTGGTTTTAAGAAGAAATGTGAAATAAAGAATTGTATTACCAGTAATGGAGGCATCATATCATATATCGTAACTAAAAAGGTTAGATGTAGCTTTCAATAAATTATTTGATTTCAGCATATGTTGTCAACAGGAAATATTTAACATCAGACATGGATGGTATGTAAAGTTATCTGAAGCCAAAATATGAAACCAAACATTCAGATTTTTTTTATTAGATTGAAATGAATGTTAATGAAACTTTTAAAATGTTTTCATTCTGTATACAATGTAGCTGAAATTGAGCTCTTTCAAAATACAAATCATATGTATGGATATATAAATAAATTTCTCATTTGAATGGAACAATTTTCAATAGTTTAGTACAGTACTTAACTACTTCCTAATACGATGAGTTAAATTATCACGTACTTGTTCAAACCGTTCTACAAAATAAATAAGTTGAAATTTTATATAAACGAAATGAAACAAAACATCCAGATCTGCATGTTAATTGGATGGGAAATAGGGTTCCTTATTAATATTTTTTTGTACAGTACACTGTACATGATAAAAACTTTGAAAATTTCTGTTTTCACAGAGTAGTTATGTTGTTGTGAATGATACAGATAAGATAGATATATCATCTAAATGCCGTAATGCTGTTAAATATGGTATTCCTATTGTTGATCTTGAGTTTCTATGGAAGTCAGTAGAATCTGGAAAAATTCTTAATGTGGAAGATTTTGTAGTTGGTGGTAAAAGTAAAAAACAAGATTTCAAATCAGGAAAAATTTCATCGAGTAAGTAAATCTTCACAAATAATTTTTCCAAACATATTTTTTATTCAGTTTTTGTTTTAGTTTAAAAGAGATTATTTCTCTGATGATGAAATTCATCAAAATGTTTATGTGTGAGTAAAATACAGACTATACCTTAAAGGGCAGCAATCAGCATTTTGAAAGTTGATTTTGGCCTTGAGGATATGGTCTTCAGAAGTACTAAAACTAAAATTGTAAAACTGTACAAAATTGTATTTAATCCTTTCAGATATAACTCAAGCTAAACTATTCATTTTCTATTTCTATCATAAAAAGCCATTTACACTAGAGCTCTATGATAAGAAGTACGGTACATCTAACCTTCTTTAATCCTTCAAAATGATGATATTTTGTATAATATGACCTTAAACTGATATATGAAGCTATAATTGTTTATTATTTAGCCCATTCAATATCAGACAAAGATAGTAACAAGAAGAAAAGTGTTAAGATTTATAATATTAAATTTTGTAAAGTATGGAAACCAGATGATGTTAATATTCCTGAATTTGATGAGGATGAATTTGAAGTAGCTAAATATACAGTTTGCCATGTAAGACTTTTCAGGTTTTTTCTATGTTTTTGATGAGATAAATTACCTAATGCTGTTTGTTTGATTTACATTGTAGATTCATGCTAATTGTTCCATGAAACTGTTTGTTTCAAGATGTGTGAAATATGTTATCTATATACTCTTGATAAAGATTTTGGTATTATTCCTACATGTATGAGTGTTTGTATTACAGCATGAAGATATTAAAAAGGAAATAAACATGTATTGTTGTGTAGAGATACATGTACAACCATCATCTGTAAACCAACAATACAGATACAGAGTTTTTACACAATCTCTTTCAATAAATGATAAACAGGTACAGTTTCTGAATTTACTATTTTTATAACAAGTTTTTGTTTTATATCTGCAGAATATAATGTTATATATTATAAAGTATTTATCACGTCATGAAACTCAATATTATAATGTCAAACTACTTGAAAATTAATGAATTTAATTTCGACAATATGAATTTCTATGGTTTCTTAAAGCTACCATGGGCTACCTTACTTGACAATGTATTCATTGATTACTTCATAATTATAATTTCATTACCTCTTATTATAAATTTGATACAGTTACACTGCAATATTACTGGTAGATTTAAAATCATGAAATAATCTTACTGATTCTTAAGATTTTTTTTTATCATGTCATTTGAACTATTTTACAGGAGACAAATGGATCTGAAGAATATCGATTCACCAATATCAGTGATGAAGCTGTTTATATATATAAATATATCTATGACAGTTTTATAGCTAAAAAATACATTCCACAAAAACACTATATACCACGTAATATTGGATCAAGAAAAGTTCAAAGGGTAAGTGTATCAGTTTCCACTTTCCTCAAAAATGTAATACTCCAGAACTTGTCAGAATATGGAAGAAACTAGATCTCCACAATTGTTAGAATCTGGTAGAGTGTGGACTCAAGTAAACATTTCATAGAAATTAAGCAAAGGGTTTTTAAGATTTTAGTTGTGTACATAACAAAAAAACACAAGGGAATATATTATGGTATAACACACTTGTTTAATATATATGTGCTCGCCGCTTCTAAATGTTGTTCAAATCTTATCTATTCGTGTTTGTGATAAAACATAGGTCGATGTAGCCATATTTAAATTTAGATAAACTGGAAATTTCAAATCTTGGACGTTAAGTCTTTGTTTTCTTGTATTGATTTTTTTTTTTAGTGTTTTTATGAAACATTTGATTTGATTGTACAATAATATTTTTCTTTTAAAGTTGATAGCAGAAAAATCAGTAAGAAAAGAAGATTTAAGTAGTGATGTTAAAAGATTGGTAGATTATATATGGTTAGAGGCTTCAGGTCAATTAGAAGATATATTAACTCTACCTATAACAGATATTAAATTACAACAGGTATATTTTCTCATTAATACCCAAATTTGTTATTTCTAACATGTATAATGTATATATTGCTGAAGCTAAATCTTGTATAGTTTTTGTTGGAGATCACCAATTGACATGTCATATTTTGAAATATATACATCACTAGTCGAAATGCAGGGTTGACAATGAATTTTATGGACTGAAGTTGATTTAAGAATTTTAACATGAGATATAGGGTTACCTTATTAACACTAAAGGCGTTTTTATTTAAGTAAATCGTATTAACTCACTTTGATTATCAGCACGTTGTACAAATCAAATCATCTTAAATAAAGTACCATCGGCATAACCGATCATAATATTGTCTTTATTACTATAATCTTAGAATGAATTCTTGAAATGTTTTTACTTGTTGTCAATGTTGCCCACCATCTTGAATCTCAAACAAATCTTACCAATCGCAGTTAGCCACAATTTGGTCGCTTTTGCAAATCGTTAAAATGTTTGTGTAATCAGTGTATTATATTATAGATAGATAAAGTTGAAGGTGTATTATTGGAAATTAAGAAATGTTTAACAAATAATGATAAAAATAAGATAACTGGTTTATTAAGTGAATTTTACTCTATATTACCACATAAAACAGAAGATATAGATAATGTAGATAAAAGATGGCTTTCAAATAAACAAGACCTATGTCAGGTAAAACATAGTTTAATCATACTATTTATATATTGGATAGTGTCATGACAGTGATAATCCCTGTATATGACGGAATCATTTTTGTTAACATGCAGGAGAACTGGACTCTAGATTTTTAATTTGATGTGGTAAAGCAAATATAGACAATAATATCTCCTAGTATTAGTATTTGTAAGTTTCTGGATATTTCTGTATGCCGTGTTCATATTTTACTTGAAACTGAATTTTATTACACCAACAATTCCATTTCATTGTAATGTATAAGTTCTTGTTAAAGTTATAAGTAGGTGTGGAGCTCTTTGTATGTGTACCATTGTATTTCTTTGTGCATCATGTTGCTATATGATTTATAATACTGAGGGAAAGAAATATTGTCATTAATGATGAATTTGAAAGTGGTTTGAAATGGATGGTATGTGATATTTTCTAGTTAATAAGAGATATGATATCAGTAACAGAAGCTACTAACTGGTCTATTAGAAGTAGTAGTGAAGCTAAATACAAGGCATTACGATGTCATATTCAACATTTAGACAGCAATAATACTCAGTTTCATACAGTCAAGAATAATATACTCCAATCTTTAGATAGGTATGTTAAAAGATTTATTAAGTAGATATATTGTAAAGAGTAAGGATGAAAAATTTACAAATAAATTTGAAAGCCAAGACATGTATTTCAATATATAGGAATCATTCAGTGGACAGTGGGACACATGTTATAATAAAATTTGCAACTAACTCATTATTTCTGATTGTATAATATTTTGATATTTGTAGTGATATGAAGGTTGAGATACAGAATATATATGAAGTACACAGACCAATAGAAGATGATAGTTTTGCTCATAAACTCCATCCAAAACAATTGTTATATCATTCTTCAAGAGTTGAAAATTTTGTTGGTCTTCTTTCTAGGTATTTATTTAAGTGTTAATTGTCTTACATATCTCTACATTGTTTACTGCCATATCTATCCATCTGTGGAATTTTCTTTCAGTTGCAGTGTAATTCCCCCTGTCTAATAGCCCGTCTACACTTAACTCTGACCATTTGCGATCTAAAAATTTACATGGACGCCAGAAAACATGAAGAAAATGGCGCCCACCAAACGATATCTGACACTTCCTACAAGCTAATACCGCGCTTATGACAACCTCAATACGCTAAATTTCCATCGCTGTAGCAGATCAGTAAGGTCCCCTTTCTGGTGTGACAGAGCTATAAAGATATCTTAATGAATGACAAATATGGCATTCAAAAAACTACTGAAGAATTTTTATTTCTATTGTTGTTATTTTTTTTATAGAGGATTGTTGTTACCTAAAGTGGTAGTAGATGATTATGGTGGTAAAAGAACGGATGCAGGACTATTGGGAAGTGGAATTTATTTTGCTAATTCAGCCAGGTACTGTTTTTGACATTTCTGTAAAGCATTTCGGAATATGCATGAACAAGTATTAGAGTACCTTTTATCAGTGTCTTTATTTTTGTATTTTACAAACAAATGGTGGAACTAGATAATAGCCTGCAAGGGCATGGTTTAACAAAGGACTTCACTAGTATAAAAGACGTAAAATATTTGTTTTTTTTTTCTAGTTTTCATTACTGAAATTACTTTTTTAATTTTTAATTTTTAATTGAATTATTTCTTACTCTATTACAGTAAAAGTGCCAGATATTCGAGTGCTAGTAAAGTTATTGGTAGTAGATTTATGTTGGTATGTGAGGTGGCATTAGGTAATATCTATAAGACTACAGAATATAATAGTGAGTTAAAACAACCACCTGATGGTTATAACAGTGTACATGGTGTCAGTTCAGTTGACTCAGATTTTAAAGTGAGTTCTCCTTTTTGAAATAATTGATGTTGATTTTAATGATGTATAAGACCTCATGAATTATGGCTTAAATGAATTAGAACATACAAAAATGTTTTGATGTTAAATAGTGCTCAAAACATTGAGTTTGTATATAGAAATATATGTCTGAGTTTCAGGCTGTGCAAATATCAGATAACTGGACTCTTTTAACTTCATTAGATACTACTGACATTAATGATCTAATGTTGTCAGGCACAAAAATAATTCTACTATTACTATTCATTACAGGATGATGAGTATGTTATATATAATACTAATCAACAACGTATACAATATCTAGTAGAATTTATAATTGATGGTGACCAAAATAAAACTTTAGATATCACTGATATAGACAATGACATACATATTCAACCAAACAGTTTACTTACTCAATTTGATAATATTGGTCAGTGGAATTTTACTGTATATTTAACAAATTGTTAATACTATCTGTAGATACCAAATACTTTGACTCAATCAGAATATCAGTTATCCAGATATTGTGACTCCACCAACTCCGCTAGATAATTTCATAGTTAACAAAATTATCTAATAGGGGCTGGTTAGAGTCAGCAAGGTTCTAAGTAGGGGTATGTGTATACTTTGCCTTTAACAGTTTAAAAGTTGGGATTTACCAGTCATCATACCTAAGACTAATAAGGAATATTGTTTGTGTGTTTGATTGGAATTATCTGATTGTATTAACAGTCCTTATTTGTTCTGTATTTCAGCTATTGATGACATAAAAGATGTAGAAAACCCATTGGATAAAGTTAAGCCAGGCCTGATATCAACTGGTTCAGATAAACCTGTTGATTTAAAATCAGTTCATATTAAAGCTAGATTATTAGATCTAGCTGCTCAGGTAAGATGATAGAAGTATAAATAGTTTGTAATAATGTATGGCTGTTGGAGATTAAGGAGTTCGATAGTAACTAGTGTCTAGGGTATCTACAGTTTGATGTTGGCATAGGTTGATATTGTACCTTCAGACTCTCCCCAGCATTGTACGAGCGATTGGCATTTTATAATATATGTCTAGTCAGTTGGTGGGGACAATACATCAAGGCTCTATTTGCTACAAGCTGTTCTTGTGTAATATCCTTTAACAGTTGGAAACTGAAAATGAAGTCTAGTTCATTATTAAACTAGTGTAGAAAAGATATTTTAAGATAAGCTTGTTACATTTTCTACTCTAAAAATATTAAAACAGACCCTAAAACAACATGTTGTTACTCACGCAATTTGTATTTCTATTTAGGTGATAGTTTTACAAGAATATTATAATAGTAGTACAAATAGTTCTATAGAAGCTAAATATGTCTTTCCATTAGATGATATGGCTGCTGTATGTGGGTTTGAAGCCTTTATTAATGGAAAACATATTATTGGTGAAGTAAAAGAAAAGGAAAGGGCTAGGAAAGAATATAAAGAAGCTATAAGTGAAGGACATGGAGCTTATTTAATGGATAGAGATGAAGAAACACCTGTAAGATATTAAATTAGTTTTATATGCTATTGTGGGTTGAGTTCAAGACTTTCTAAACTTGAGATCTCTATTGTATTATAGACGATACATTGATCATATATCAATAGATGTGAACCATTCCAGACTAGAGTATTTTATGCTTATTTATGGTACATTTATATTGGCTGAATAAAGGAATATCATTTCAGGATACTTATCATCTCTAATCATTTTATCTCTTATCAATTTAGGTACCGTATAGGAAATCGATCCCTAACAGCCTTACAGAAGACATGATTTAATATAGAATATATCTACCAGATATCAGGCATTATATTAACATGATTATTGTTATTATTTGTAGGATATATTTACAGTAAGTGTAGGTAATTTACCACCCGGTGCCTGTGTTTTGATTAAAATAACCTACGTAGCAGAACTACAAGTTGAAGGAGAAGAGATAAGTTTTAGATTACCTGGTAGTGTTGCTCCATGGAAAAAGGATATTGCAATCAATGATGTTACTCAGGTAAGGTTAAAAAATTACGACTTCAGATCCTTTGGGTTTTGAGAATGACATTTGAAATAAAATTTGCAATGCATATCTACTATTGTATTGACTCTCAAGTTTGAAGTCATAATGTCATTAAATTATTTGTTCTTATATCATTTTTAATTTGTAGTCAGAATTAGATACATTCAATTTAAAACAACAGAAGTCTACACTGCAGATAGCTGTAGAAATGCCTTTTGATATTGTTCAACTCTACAGTCCAACAAATAAAGTTCTTATTAAGGTAATCTTAGAACTTCTTTGTGTTGCATATTGTTATTAGATAGTTAATTACTGGATTTAATTACTTTTAGAATAACACTTTACATTGATATGTCTTTATCTGGCAATCTAGTTATCTACATATTTTACCTAAATATAAGGCAAAATAAATAGTAGTGACTATAGTTTACCACGTACAAGCTGTGTGTTTTACATTGTTAAAGGGTTTTTTCTGTAGAAAACAGCCAGTAAAGCAGTAGTTAGATTATGTGATTATGAACAGATTGGTGATGGTTTTCAATTATTGATTGGTTTAAATGAGATTCATGTACCTAGAATGTGGGTAGAGAAAACGCCATCTGACTCTGAGAATAGGGTAAGTTTTGGTAAAGATTAAAATTTTCCTGGGTTTTTATACACCCATATTATAATGTGGTCTTATATTGTCGTCGCCCTTGTCCGTCCGTCCACAGTTGGCTTGTGAACGCAATAGTTCGAAATTGATGATCTTTCGATGAACGGTTTTTGAATTATTGCCCTTGACTTATGAAAGACGTGTCAAAATTTTATTGTGAACACAATAGAGACTTCAGTTTTCATCCAATTTAAATGAAATTTGGTGTGAATATTTATAATGATTAGATCTTGGACAAGTTCGCATTTGGCTATCCTTTGATGAATGGTTTTTGAGTTATTGCCCTTGACTTATGAAAAACGAGTCAAAATTTGTTTGTGAACACAATAGAGAATAGAGTTTTCATTCGATTTAAATGAAATTTGGTATGACCAATTATAATGATGAGATCTTAGACAAATTCGAATTTGACGATCTTTCAATGAGCGGTTTTTTAGTTATTGCCCTTGATTTATTAAAAACGCGTCAAAATTTGTTTGTTAACACAATAGAGAGTACAGTTTAATCCGATTTTAAATTAAATTTGGTATGGTCATTTATAATAATGAGATCTCAATCAAGATTGAATTTGGCAATTTTCTGATCAATGGAATTTGGGTTATTGCCCTTGACTTAGTAAAAACGCATCAAAATTTGTTAGAGATAGAGGTGACAGTTTATGTCAGAATTTTATTAAATTATATGTGTTTGCTTAAATCAACAATGTCTTGCACAAATTTTTGTATGATTTGACAGGTGACCGCAGTTGATATACTAAAAATGTATCAGGAAAGTGGGCATATCTTGCTAGGCAACCAATATGTTATCTATATGAAAATTTGAAAATATGGTTTTAAACATTAGAAGAGTATAATAACTAGATTGTAATAAATATATATAAGTATAGATTTGTATAGTTGATATGTTATTGTAGGCATGTATGTTAACATTTTATCCTGAGTTTGAATCCAGAGATAATGAAGATTGTGAAATAATATTTATATTAGATTTATCCAATTCTATGACTGGACATGGTTTAGAGGATGCTAAAAAACTTATCTATTTAACATTACATCATTTATCAGAAAAATCTGAATTCAACATTCTTGTTTTTGGTACTGGTAAGTTAAAGAATTAGTCATTTATTTTTTTGGTATGATAATTATGTTTAATAATACATTACAGTATTAAAATAATTTCACTGTTAAGATCAATAGAGGAGTGATATAAAAATATTAAAACAGAATCTGAAACATGTTGTTGCATAGAGTTTCACATTGCAATCTTCAGACAACTGACTTGTATCCAGACTGAAGTTCTCATGTTTGCACTTCAAGACAAAATTTATTTGTTTAAAGAAATGTGGTAAGGTTTATAAAAATGAAAAATAATATCGTGATTGATTTTTACAGGATATGAAGAGTTATTTACATGTAGTGTTAAAGCAACAGAGTCCAATCTACAAACAGCTAAACAATTTCTTAAGGTACACAGATACAATAGATATTTCTTTTACTTCATAAAATAACAGTTATTATCAAATTTTAATTCTAGAAATAGATAGATTTTAGATTTTTTATATTGTTGCTAAGGTAAAAAATGTAATTTCTAGATACCCCAGCTGACAATAATTCAGCAAATTATGATGAAATTTGATATGTAATCTAGAGTCAATAACATACAGTAGTTGGATTTGTTTGAGATTGCTATGAAGTTTGAAAAATAATGTGAGAAAAATATTGTGTCATGATTCTCATCCAATTTTGATGACATTTGACATATTATGCATTATTTGCTAAATGCACCACTGACAACTCAACAGAACGTGAAAAATTGCTGTTGACTTTCTGTGAAAGTGTTTCATTCTGCTTCTTCTTCTATGTGTATATTTGGAGTTTTAGTGTTGGACTCTCAACCCAAGCCATTGAGTTGACAAAACCAATACCAGAGTTTTTATAATTCTTTACAGAGATTATGTGCTGATAGAGGTAATACTGAACTATATCAACCATTACATAGTCTATATCTACTACCACCAACTAATACAACCAGAAATATCTTTATATTTTCTGATGGTCATATAAATAATGATGATACTGTACTAAATACAGCTTCACTACATTCTAAACATTCTAGAATCTTTACATTTGCTGTCAGGTAAATTTCCACTTTTTAAAGAAAAATTTCAAAGTCAGATGTTTTATTTATGAAAAATCTGTCCGTAAAGTAATTGAGATTAAGTTAAAATCCATATCATTCATTTCTTTCAAAATAGTTTTTTTAAAATAATATTTATATATCTAACTTGCACATTAATAAAGTACTTCAATATTTTATTTATTAATTTACAGTTCTACTGCTAATGTTCATTTCTTACGAGGTTTGGCCAGAGTCAGTGGAGGTTCATATGAATATTTTGATAGAAAAACCAAATCTAAATGGGAAGGAAAGGTTAGTGAAATCAAATTAATGATTTGAGATTTTTTATTTTCATGTTAAAAATGATATCTTAAGATTTGAAAGTTAAGCTTGGTATGGGAAAGTCAAATTAGATAACAGTTTTACAGTTTTTACACAGTGAGTCACTATCATCATTTCTTCATCATAGACATCATTATTGTTGTTTTCAGATAAAAGATCAGTTGAATAAAGCTTGTCAACCAAGTTTAACATCAGTCTGTGTAGAATGGCAACAGTTTGATGACAATTTACCAGAACCTATTCAAGCCCCAAGAAAAATAACAGCTTTATTTAATGGTTCTAGACAAGTTGTTTATGGCTTTGTTCCTAATTGCACTTTGGTAGGTATATGTTTAAGGGGCAGTTTACAAAATTTTCAATATTAAAAAACATGTAAATTATATATAAATTTTATTTGAAAATCTTTCTCAAGAGTTTGGTCTATAGTTTTTGTGAAATTGAGCACCTTAAACTGAATTAGTCTTCAAGTCAATATTAGGTAGATTTAAGTGTCAAGTGATACAAATTTTAGAGGTACAGTTTTGAATTAACTGAATGACGTGGTATTTTAATATAGGCAACATTAAAAGCTGTTATTGATGGTGAAGAAATATCTACTGTTGTTTCAACTCCTGATTTAAATATTACAACAGGACAGGTAATATACTACTTATATATACTACTTAATTTATATCAAGATTTTACTCTACTTGATTTTTCTATTTATATATTAATTTGGCAGAGTGATTATGGATTTTGCTTATTCACATGAAAGAGTCAGTTAGATTCTGGCATAAGTTAAGAGTATATCTGGAGATGACTGATGCAGTTGACTTCTTGTGAGTGATGTAGATTTGAGAAGATGACAGAAATAATGCTTATTTGATAAAGTGGTTGGACATGTGCATGTAGAAGATTCTAAGAAATAATGTTTATTTCCTTTTCCTCTGACAAAAAGCCATCTTTTTCATAGGTACAGGTAATTTTGATTTTTTAGTATATTATATAACATATATCTTCAGACAGCTCGAAACTTCTATTTCGCTATACAATTGATGTTTTGAGCACTTTTAAACAGTGAAAATACTTTGATAATGTGTATGATATATATATGATCAAGCTTTGATATTTTCCATCACCAGATATTACATAGACTAACAGCTAGAAGTGTTATAAGAGATTGGGAAGATGGTATGCTATCATCTGATAAAACACAACATGAAGTAAGGTTTTGGAAGATTTTTAGTTACACATTTACAAAGTTGACACTACCTTTCAATGTTTTAAAATTTTTGGGAAATGAAGAATTTGTAAAGTTCAAGATTTTATGCTTAACTGAACCTTGAACTGTAATACCTACAGGATACATATTTTATATTATATGAATTATATAATTATACTTTATTGCATCTACATAATGAACTTGTATTGTTTTGGCAGGTTATAAAGAAGAATCTAAAAGAGTATATAATAAATATTAGTAAAGAATATTCATTAGTTACTCAGTTTACAAGTTTTATAGCTGTAGAAAAGAGAGATGATGTAAGTTGTATTAGGTCCTTTTATTGATCAACTGATATTTTCTATACCATCTGATACAGCTATTTGCATTACTTTTCAAGGAAATAAATAATCTAATTCCTAGAAGTTACAAAAGTTTAAACTTCCCTAGGAAGTGACAAAATTCTGAATTCCTGGAAGTTACAAAAGTTTAAACTTCCCTAGGAAGTGACAAAATTCTGAATTCCTGGAAGTTACAAAAGTCAAACTTCCTTTCTGGAAGTGACAAAAGTCTAAACTGGAAATGACAAGAATGTAAACTTCCTGGAGGAGACAAAAGTCTTAAAGGGACTTCTCTCAGAAATGGGATTTTGTTAGCTTAGCCAATCAGTAATAGTTTTCACATCTCACCATCAAAATTTGAGCCTTCAAATCCATGTGTGTCCAGAATTATCCGTGATTGAATGTTAAAATGACAACTCGTCATTTTAAGATACTCTGTGATATATAGAAAAGACATATACAGAAATAGTGATTAAAATTCCTAGTTTGAAGTATCTTTAAAGAAATTATGCAGTTTTTGTACATTTCTAGTACTTCTGAAGACACCCCAAAATGCCCCACCTGTACTTTTACCTTCCTTTCTGAAAGTGACAAAAGTCCAATGTAAGATTTTGTTGGATAGTGTTATTTTTTGTGATAAGTAATACCAGTACACTCTTTCTAAATTGAGCTACATTAGCACGTACACAAAGAAAATATTGCACATTTAACACAAAAATTTTAAATAGTCATAATTTGGATGATACTTTTACTCTTTTCATATTGTATGTTTAGGATGAGAAAGATTTAAAACAAGGTAGGGGTCCACAGATAATAGATTTAGTTGATCAAGAGGATGTAGATATATTATCAGAGATATCTTGGCCTGTTACTGAAACACCTGATCTACTGCTACATGATAACAAGGTAGTTTCAGATTTTATCATATCTATATTCTAACATTGAATTTAAATTTCTCAAGTAACTTTCCCTTGTTAATCATTACAGTCCACATATATTGTTATACTAGTGCGTTTTTGTGTTTGTTACATATAATGACATGAATTATATGTTATGTTAGAATAATGGATTGTTTATAGGAAATCATTCATGATGTCAATGTCAAACACATGAGGATCACTAGTCTAGATGATGATGATGATGATGATGATGATGATGATGACAGTGATTATGATTGGGCTGAAGAAGAGGAGGAGGATTCTAGTAGTAATGATAGTAGCAGTGATTTATTGGATAGTTTTGATGGAGTTGGAGACTGTAGTCTAGCTGAAATAAGTAAGTCATTATAATGTTTCCTCAACAATAACAGGATATTTTTGTTGACGTTGCCATATGTTGTATATTGATGAGATCTGAGATAAAGAGCTTGATGATATTAAACAAAACTATAATAACATAAACTGATATATTCTTATTCACCTGACTGTGTTCTCAATAGACAATAGTTTATATGCTGTATCTGTATTAAATATATTTTGTGTATTATTATAGTCAAGAAACAGGCGGTAGAAGAATATGATGATGATGAAATGAGAGTTGATTGTAAGTTTTATTCCTTACTGAATCAGTCTGTATATATATTTATATCATTATCATAATTATATATCAGGGTACGTTGTGGGATTACAGTAGAAAATGGTTATTTGTACAGAGAAGTGCTCAAAAAAGAAATGATGAAAAATACCTCTTATGTCAATAATTAATTCATAATTAGCTAAATTGGAAGAGAATTACCAGCAGAATACTAACGAGTGACCAGTCGAGAAAGGTCAAAAAGTGATTATCCAGAGTATACATTTAACTATATGCAATAAGAACATAATGATATGATTAAGAATACATGATAATTCATGGGCATATTTGCAATAGTAGATATAAGATGTATATGTATCATGTATTGGAAAAAGAATTTCTGCAGATGGTAACAAACAGTAATCGTTTGAGCACTTTTAAATAGCATGGATCACTTTTTTATACGCCCATTATACGCCTGTCCATTTCTTGACAGATTTTGACTAAACTTAGTGTGAGTGCTTGTAATCTCCAAAGGATGGAACCTATTGTAAATCAGACAAATCGAAAAATATTTAATGAGTTATTACCCTTGTTCTTGAAAATTCCTTGTGGATGCTATAGAGAGCTGGTTTCTTGACGGATTTTGATGAAACTTGGTGTAAGTGTGAGTAAAATCGACCATGGATAAACCCTATGAAAAATAAAAAAAATAAAAAATTATTTACAATTCTTTATTGATTTAGGCAAAACTTGTTGAAATTGTATAATATAACACAATAATGAACCCTATTGAAAATCAAAAAAAATCTAAAAATATTTGATATGAGTTATTGCCCTTGTTCTTGAAAAGCATTCAATTTTTAGCTTGACTATTTTAGATGAAACTGGTGAAATTGTTTATTATCACCTTAGGATGAACCCTGTCTTAAATTGTAATATGAAAATAATACTCTGAAAATGCTTCTTTTTCTGATAACTCTAATGAACCTCTCGGATGACTTAGCTGAAATTACAATTGTAGGGGTATTATTATGACCATTGCTATAATGTTTTACAGTATTTGATGATGGTAATGAAAATTTAAATATTCAATTTCAACAGACACACTTACATGTAGCTTCATTATAGGTCATTCATATTGCAAGCTATTCTTAATCAATCAAATTGTTCTCAATAGACAATTGCTTATACACTGTAGTAAAGCTGAAAATATTTTATGTTATAATATAGACAAGAAAACAGCAGTAGAGGACGAAGAAAGTGATGATGATATGGGATTTAATTGTAAGTTTCAATTACCGTACTAAATCATTCTGTATATATAATTATTATATGTGTCATTACCAATCAGCTGGTTATATCATCACCTTAGTGATAGTTTGTGAGATACCACAGTGAAGATTTAAATGAGGCTTGTGACATATGAATGTTAAAGCTTCACTGTTTTTCTTGACAGTATTTGGTGATGATGAACCTCAAGTAGCCCTGTGTAATGATGAACTGGATGATATTTTGGAAAATAAGCTTGAAGAGGTACAATTACAGTCTGCCACATTTACAACAGTTACAGCAGGTAAATCATTAGGTGGATCAGCTCAACTTCCTGATACTGGCTCATCAAACTTAACAGCTTATGGTGTCAAAAAGCCACATAGATATCGACCTGGAATGTCACAAGGCAAAGGAATAAATAAGTCTGTGAATGTATCTGAATTAGTGGAGGAGACAAGCATCTTGAATGAGCCAAGAAGACAATCCACTCGCACAACACAATCAGCTCGCTTCTCAACAGGTGGAAAAGCACTACAAGCGAAGGAACTCAAAATAGCTGCTGATAAAGAAGATGATTCAGATAATTTTGGCTCAACATTTCAACAACAGCAATCAGGTATGTAAAAAATAAATCAGTAAATAAATACAAGTTCCTCAGTTAATGTCAGTTTTGGCATATATTGTCGTCAAACTGTTCATGCTCACAGTACAGAATATAAGAATAGAATAGAAGAGCTTCTTCTCGTTTTTGTCATGATTGGACGATTTTTCCATGATTTGCAGTATAGATTGTTACATGTGTATGTTTGTGTAAATGTAAGGGTATTGGTGAATTTTAAGGGATTAGGCACTTTGGATGGCCGCCCTTATAGGCTGGTTTTTATACGCCCACATCTCTCTATGTGGACGTATATTGTTGGCACCCCATCCGTCCGTCCGTCTGTCCATCCGTCCGTCAACACTTGCTTGTAAACGTTCTAAAAACTAGATTTTTTTGATGGAATCAAATGAAATTGGGTATGTGTATACATATTCATAAAACGAAGATCAAGTTCGAATTTGAGCTATTTTCGACCGTTAGAAGCAGAGTTATTGCCCTTGCCCCAAAATCTTGAATATGCTATTACTCTCTTAGTTTTCAACCGATTTTGATGAAACTTAAAATGGATGTTATGGACCTAAATCAAAAGGTTTGAGAAAGTTTAGTTTACTTCTGATTAAATTTAAGGTTTTTTCAAGATTTAGGCCTCTTACGTCAGTTTTGAAGAGTTATCGCCCATTAACCTCTATACAGTAAGTGCTTCTATCAACATCAATTGCGCAAAAAACATTGGGAGCCGAATTTTGAATTTAGCTTTTGCTTTTTTGCAACTTCCAGTTGAATTTTTTCAAACTTTAAACACTCAAACCGCATGACCTTGACTTCTGATGACCTTCATAGGGTCAAAGGTCATTGACCTTGGCTATCAGTTGATACTTTGACGTTTGACCTCTGATATGAACTTCCGTAAAAAGCCATATTCGCAACTTTGGACTGCTCTAGCACGTGACCCAAAGGGTTCATTTTTTCGGTTTCCTAATGTGCTTCTCATGCACTTTACATTGATATATAACAATCGTTTTTTTTAAAGTAAAATAGCAATTCGTGATTTCAGGTTTTTTTACAATATATGTGTCTCTTTGAGCTTGGTGTATGTATATCTAATGACCTATTTGATGCAGAAGCTTGAAATTTGGAATACAACTAGACATTTTGAATAGGAATTCACCTTCGACAAAAAAATTGATGTGGGAAAGGCACATCTGGGTTGAATTACTAATTGTTTACATTTTGGGAAAGGGGCATAACTTGCATAGGATACATTTGTTCAAAAGGAACTTTGCACACAATTGCCTCATCCTTTTGGCCAGTTTGTGTTAATAGCTCAGTTGTTTCAGCTTTATAGTTCAAAAAAAGGAACGGGGTTTAAAATTTCCATATTTTCAATTTTTGATTATTGACTTTTGTTGACCTATATCTTTTGACCTGTAATATGTAGAAGCTTTAAATTTGGAACACAAGATAACATTCAGAATATCAATTAACTTATGCCAAATAAATGAGGTGGGAGTGGCATATCAGGGTTAAATTACTCATTATTGACATTTTTGGCCAGGGGCATAACTTACAAACAATATATTTGTTCAAAATGTAACTTTGCATACAATTACCTTATCTTTTGAGCCACTTTGTATTAGAAGTTCGATTGTATCGGCTTTATAGTTCAAAAAAAGGAACATGCTTTGAAAATTCTAAAATTTCAATTTTTGACCTTGACCTTTTTTGACCTTCACTTTTGTAGGATCGAAGGTCATTCACATTGGCTATCTATTTATACTTTTGCTGCCCTATCTCAAACTTCCGGTTTTATAGCCGTATATAATTTCAAATTTTGATGACTTGACTTTTGTTGACCGTCTCCTTTTCAATGCGAAAGGTCATTGACCTTGTCTATCTTCTGATACTTTCATTTGTGTAGTCTGTCTACTTCCGGTATAACAATCTTCTAAAGAATTAAAACTTCTTATCTTTAGACTGCTCTTGCACGTGATGTAATTATTGTAGAAGGTTGATTTTTTCAGAGTCTTTTGGAAATTGCTACATTTGCAAAGTCCCACTCTGTGCCATGTGTGGCTCTAGTTTTTAATTGTTTAAAATCTATCTTTTAGCAGAAATAACTGGTCGAGTTGTTCGGGATAACTTTAACACCTCTTTAGATGATAAAACTAAAGACAGAGACAAGGATTCTGGGATTCCAAATATACAATCTTCAGAAATGCCATATTTTGGTTTTGGTTCAGCATCAGTAAGCCAATCAGCTCCTGGTCAAACTGGAACTTTTGGAAATGATACATTTTTTGGCAGCCAAATTAAGGGAGACAAGAATTTTGATGGTGTTATGTTTGGTAATAGTACTGGTTTTGGTAGTGGTAATCAATTAGTAATAGGAGCTCCTTTTGGCGGAATCTCAGCGTCACTTGGGCCCAGCAATGCTCAATTTGATCTAAACAAAGTGGTTCCAAGTACATCTTTTGCAGCAAGCACTGCTTTATTTGGAGGCGGAAGTTGTTCTATGACTGATAATGGTTTTAGTTTTGGAGGCAGTCCAACT